ATTTCACCATCAGGCTCTCATGTTTTTGCCCAAGGAGGGACAGGCGTTTGCCGTTCCGAGTCCCTTGGAGTAAAGGATGGGCAAAATAACAGCACCGGGGGTTTGAGGACACTCCTGTTGTCCCAGCGGAGCTCTGAACTGAAGGAGGCGGACCAGACCGGAGGCAGCAGCAGCTGGGGCCACAGTGTCGTCTGCACTGCCGAGAAGGGCTGGGTTGGGTGACGTCGCTGAGGCCTGTGGTGACCGTGGGCTTCTTAATTCTGATCCCCGGGATCAGGCTGGCATATTCACACAAGCCAGGCAGCGTGACCACGTGCCCCACTGGGGCTGGGCCGCTAACTCCGAGCAGATCTCGTGGCCTAGAGACGACCAGTTTGCAGACAGGCCTGTCCCAGAGAGTGATAATGGAGGAAGGAACTACTAACCTCCAGAGGCTCAAAGTCTTTTTTGGGGGGAAACTGATCAATCAGATAAGTCATTTTTTCTTCCCTGGGGAACAGTAAGGGGTGGGCAAGAGACCCAGAGTTTAGGGAGCAATCCTTCCTCATGGAAACCTGGTGGGTCAGTCAGGATGGGCTGTGTTCTGCCGCTGTAACAAACACCCCCAACTCTCAAATGACAAAGGTTGATTTCTCACTCATGCCGCACATTTAATGCAAGTTATTACCAGCTCTGCTTTTCTAGCCACTGGGGTTCAGGCTGATGGGGGTCCCCATCTTAACGACACCACCATTGTGACACAAGGCTTCCAGGTTTGCTGCAGCAGAATAAGAAAATGGACAACTATGCTCTTACTTGTTCTGGAAGTGGCACTCGAGTCCCCCCACATGCGAAGGAGTGAGAAGGCCACTCTTAGACTCAAAGGTGTGAGGAAGTTCAATCGTCCCGTTTCCCAGAGGACAGGAGAACTGCAGTTGTCACTGAGCAGCAGTGAGGTCCCTTGCAGAAGAGGGAGGAAGAGTTTCCTGCCCCGCCCAGCAGCCCTGCCCGCACGGGACAGAGGCACTGCTGTTGGGGAGGTGCAGTGTTCTCAGGGAGCCCTTCCCGGGAGCCAGGGCGCAGCCTGGGAGACTAGACCGAGGAGGAGAGCTTAGCCCAGTCCAGGCCGCACACTAACGGTGTCACCCTGTGGCAGGGCAAAGCATTCTGGGAACTCTCTGGAGGTGAGAAGACGTCTCACTTTACCCAGCACCCCGAGCCTGGGTATAATAATCCCAGGTGCCTGTCGGACACACCAACAGTGGGTGAGTCAGCTACTCTGGTTCTCAGGTTGGGGAGGTCCGGGCTGGGGTGCTCCCTGGTCTGCCGCCATCACACCTAGCCTGTCGGTGGTTCCTGACTCCCCCCGAGGTCGGCTGTGTGCCTGCTGCACCCTCCTTCTCACCCCCCCACCACCCCCAAGCAGGGCCACTAGCTGACCGGCTGCTGAGCACAGAGGCCGGAGCCACTCTCCACGTTCTAGTGGAGTGGCCCCTACCACACAAGTCTGAGCATGGCACTCCCCTGTTCCGAGCGTGCCTGGCTCTCATGGCCTCCAGGGGATGTCGACCCCGTAGCCTTGGCGGAACCCTTCCAGCCCTCGGCTTCGCCGGCTGGCACTTTGATCAGGCAACGGCTGCAGGTGGTCGGCACCCTCTCTGTCCTGTCTGACTTGAAGACCCAGCTCAGGGCCGCCGCCTCTGCCATCCCCTTCCTTCTCGATCCCCTCCCGGTGGGCTCTGTCACCCACGACGACACCTCTCATACCGAGACGTCACCTCCTCCTGTCTGCCTCCTTGCTTGCAGGGGGCACGAGGGTGGGTGTGCTGAAGATACTTCTGGAACCCTGTTGCAACATCCTGCCAAGACACCCTGCAGCTTTGCCGGGACATCCCCAGTGACGGGGACCCCCCCCCATTTTCCAAGTTTTATCCTGGGACAACTGTCATATAGGATGGCGTTCTCTCACGGGACAGCTCTGCCTGTCAGAAAGCTCTTCCTCGAGTTAAGCCGGACTTGTTTCCCGGAACTTGTTTTCTCTCTGGTCCTACTGGGGTCACACTAAGTGCATTTGTTCCCGTCAGGTGTACTTAGGGGGAGGGGTGTGGGGGGAGGAGACGGGCGGCCGTGAGCTCCCACCATGGGCTGGAAGCTGGGAGTGGATGGGAGAAGACGCTTCCTGTCTCCGAGGGAAAAGGGGAGCCCATGAGGGTGCAGGAGCCGGGGTGCTGGAAGGCTGCGCCCTCTTCCCTCTGATCCAGGTGTTGGGTCTACAAGGTGGGGCCCGCCGGGCCCGGACCCAGGCGGGAAATCCTCCAGGTGAGCGCATCTGCCGGATCCCTGGGAACTCAAAGCAGCAATGCCTCCCACAGCACCGACCCTTTTAACCAGAGCAGGAACTTCTCCCTCTGCAAGCGGATAACTGACCTTCCTGAGAGAGGGGCCATGGAGCCCTTACCTACTGTGGGGGTGTGCCAGTTTCTCTCCCGCCCCTCCACGGGGCTGCAGGCTGCCTTTCGGTAAATGCTGCTGCATTTTACAAATCATGTCCGGCTCATCCGAGACCCGGCGGACGACCTGCTGCTGAACTACAGGACCCTGAGCCGTGTTCTGGTTTCTCGGCCAGAGCACTTCCAGAATGTGGAGCTGTTTTTGCAATGCCTGGAGAGGAGTTTTATCAGGCAGGGGCGTCGAATGCAGGGGCTGAGGGAGAGGACAGAGGGCGTGTCTGGGTCAGTTCCTGCAGGGCAGAGCAGAGACTGGGCACTGCTGTCCCTTTCTGAGTCCCTCTTCCTGCCCCACCTTCCCGCCTGCTCTTGCCACTTTGCCACAGCGTCTCTGCCCACTGGATCTCTTCTCCAGGGGCTCGGAGATCACACTGGCGTTGGGGGCAAGCAAGCCAGCTGACTCCGGTCACTGCCCTTGGGGAGGGGGGGCTGTGGCCAAGGAAGGGGGTGCCTGTCCTGTTGGCAGGGGCACGGCCACTCAGCACCAAATAACCAGTGCCCTGGGGGAGCCCCAGGGATCATCTCCAAGAGGACCAGGGCGCTGTGTTCTCAGCACCTACAACAGCATGTGGCACGAAGTAGACGCTCAGTAAATACCAGCTGAATGAATGAACGAATGAATGCAGACTCAGTGTTGCCAGATCTTCCAAATGCCCAGGGGAAGCCTGAAATCTGGACTCTGGTGTGCAATGTAAATGCCACTAACCAACTCAGAGATGTTTCTTCAAACACCAGGAGGTCCAAATTAAACATGTGCGCAGGCTGGATCCCGCCTGTTGACCCAAATCCGGGCCGCCTGAACCACTCTCTGCTCTCAGGAAACCCGTGGGGCTGGAGCACTGCCCGGAGGGCTGTCACCGATGGCCCGGAGGGCCTGGTGGCTGGGCCCTGTGGCCTCTCAGACCCCATCGGCAGGCTCCGGGAACGCTGGCCGCCTTTCTGTCTCTCCAGGGAATGGCATCTTCCCTGCTGTCCCATGAGGGCCGGCCCTTCTCACGCAGCAGTACAGGCTGCCCCCCCCTGCCCCCCCCTGCCCCCACCCTTCCCTGGACACGGACCCCGCCCCCTGCCAGCTCTCTGCTCCCCGGGGCCTCCCGGCACCTGGCCTGCCTTCGGGGCCCCAGTGGAAACCCTGTTCCTCACCTTTCCGTCCCTCAACTGTCCCATCTCCAGGGACCTCCTCCTTCCCTCTGTCCCGACCACCGATGCCGTGGCCACGCCTGGTCCTTGTCATCTCCTGGGGTGGCTCCACCTTGGAGTGTCCCAAACGGGCGTTCTTACTCCGCGGCCACAACCTTCTATTTTTCCCCTGTCGTCACCTGGGTGCCCCTGCTGCACCTGTCAACATCACCCTGCTCCCCTCACCTCCTCAAGGGCATCTCCTCCCCTCATTCGGCCGTTCCTCATAGTCTCACCGATACCCCCAATGCCCTTGAACAACATCCACTTGTCTGGGAAGCCCCTGCTGAGTTTGCACCTGAGCCAAAGGCTGGACACGATGCTCCTCATGTCCCCCATGCGATGCTAAGCTAAGTGGGATGTCACCTCCCTCATTGTAGATGCCGTACCCCAGTTAGTGTGGCCCAAGAGCCACCACTGTGAACTGAGCAATTCATACACCGAGTTCAAGCCTTCTGGCCTCAGCTGGGCCCCCAAAGCCCCTGGAGCACCCCCTCCTAACTTCTCCATTCCCCTCAAACCTCAGACCCCTCGTACGTCACCCGCCTTCATCCTTCTCCCTCTGACACCAAGAACCCCCTGATTCCGGGGCTGGTTCGTCTCTTCTGCCGGGAGCACCCCTTTTCGGGGTGCGTGTCTCCTCCTCCGGGACGCCTCTCTGACCACCCCCTCCCAGCACTCAGCCCGACACCCCTTCTCTGGGTCCTCAGAGCCCCCTCTCATCCCGATGGTGACACTCTCCCAGTCCCTGTCCCCGTGGCCAGGAGTCCCTGGGAGGCAGACTTTCAGGTTCCCCACCGGGTCCCTGGCAGCAAGAACGCGGAAGCACGGAGCTCCGTAAACATTCTTCCTCGTGTAGCCCAGGCTCTCCTACCCGTGTGTCGCGATCATGCCTCCACCAGGCACGCCCCCTCCCTCTGTCCACGTGTCCAGATCCGCCCTCTGGGAACCTGGGCCACGGCTCCCTCCCATCACGACGTCCGCGCACTGACGACCCCGGGAGAAACCCACCCCCGTCCCTCCGAACGCTCATGGCGCGGATCTGCGGCATGCTCCAGCGACCTCTCGTTTTCTTCTTTACATCGTGATTATTCACCTCTAGGTACGTAAGTTCCCGGGGACGGGCCGTCTGGCTGTGTCATCCCTGCGTTCCTAGCAGTCAGCCTAGAAAATTCTGGATGGGCAAGCGGAAACACAACTAGAGGTCTTTACTGGAAACTTGGGTCAGTTTCCTGTTGCTGCTGGAACAAATTAGCACACGCTTGGTGACTTTCAAACAACATAGATTTATTGTCTTGTGTTTCTGGACGCCAGACATCCAGAATCAGGCTCACTGGGCTGGCATGCTGGGATGTCAGCAGGGCTGGGTCCTTCTAGGGGCCCCAGGGGGCATCCGTTCCCTTGCCTCGTCCTGCCTCCAGAGGGTGCCGTAAGTCCCTGGCTCTGGGCCCCTTTATGAGTTACCCCAACCTCTTGCCTCTGTTGTGACATCGCCTTCCCTGACTCGGACAGATCTGCTTCCCTTTTATAAGGGCCTTTGCGATGGCATCGGGCCACCCCAATAATCCAGGACCATCTCCCCATCTGAGAGCCTTAGTTTAGTTGCGTCTGCAAAGTCCCTGCTACCGTTAAAACATTCACAGCGTCCAGGACCTACATACAGGTCCTGGTTATCTCGGGGGCCCGTGTCCGCCCACTACAGTAGTGTTTATGACGTCAGAAGTAGTCTATCCGGAAGCCAAGCCTCTCGGCTCACCTTGGCTGTTTCAATTCCTCCAGAAACGCTGGAAGATTTCTTTCCTGGGTGACGAGGACGCGGCCGGGAGGCGCCTCGGGCTGCACTGTTTGTAGAGTTCCCACGCCTTGGTCCTGAAAAGCTGACCCACAAAGGCGTAGATCACCGGGTTCAGGCAGCTGTTGGTGAACGCGAAGAAGTTGGACCACTGCAGGCCCAGGTCGGTGAGGTGGTCCCAGAAGCAGCCCTGGATGGCCCGCGTCTGGAAGAGAAACTCCAGGAAGGCGAAGAAGTGGTAAGGGGTCCAGCAGACCAGGAAGGCGGCCACGAGCGCCAGGATGAGGGCCGTGGTCCTGCCGTCCGCGGGGCCCGCGCCGCTCACCCTCCGGACCTCCGCCCGCCCTCGCAGGGAGGCCAGGATGTGGCAGTTGAAGAAGACGATGGCGGCCAGCGGCAGGAGGAACCCCAGCACGTTGAGCTCCACCATCCTCACGAAGTGCCAGCCCTCGTGGGGGAGCAGCAGCACACAGGCCGAGATGTTCAGCTCCGGGACGACTTCGACGGAGCGGAGCAGGAACGTGGGGACGCTCAGGAGACCCCCCAAGACCCAGATGAGCATGCAAGTGACCCGGGCCAGCCGCCGCCGCCGCCGCCTCCGGCTGGCCAGGGGGTGCACCAGCACGCGGTAGCGGTCCTGGCTGATGGCCACCACCAGGAAGATGCTGATGAACAGATTGGCCTTGATCACACCGTTGACGGCGCGGCAGAGCACGGCCCCGAAGGGCCAGTGGAACTGGTTCCAGACGTTCTCGGCCCAGAAGGGCAAGCCCAAGACAAACACCAGGTCCGACGCCGCCAGGTTGGCCAGGTAGATCTCTGCCGCGTTCAGACGCCGCTGCCGCCGGGGCAGGAGGAAGACGGACAGCACCAAAAGGTTTCCCAGCAGGCCGCAGAGGCAGACGGCCACGATGAACGTCGGCAACACGCCGTGCAGCACGTCCCAGGCTTCCCGAGCTCCATCGCAGGACGTGGCATTGGGATGCGCCGGCTGGCTCTGGTTGGAGGGCGGGAACTCCAGGAGGCTCTGGGGTGCCATCCACAGGGACCTGCAATGAACAGCATGCAGTGAACTGACTCGGGGGGACCCCAAGCACAAGCGCAGCTCACGGGCTCCATCCCGTTGGCCCAGGGTTTGGAAAATAAAGTCTCATGGCCACAGCCACACCCACTCACTGACACGCTGTCCTCAGCTGCTTGTGTGTCACAGCAGCGGGGCCGAGTGGTTGCGACAGGGGACTGTGAGGACTGCGAAACCGAGGACATTTACCGTCTGCTCGCTTAGAGGAAAAGTTTGCCAACTTCTCCTGGAAGGAAAGGACCAGGGCTTTGAAACCGAGTCCAAATCCTGGCCCCCTCCCCCCGCCTTGGTGTGGGCCACTTAGACCCACTGGCTTTTGTTTTTCTGTTTGAAAATCGAAGCTAATTGGATCCTGCTTGGCATGCTTGCCTGGCACAGAGGGACCCCTCCACGGAAGGTGGGGATCACCCTTACTAATAACCGTGGTATTATTACTAACCGTCTAACTAATGCTTCATGAGCACCTGCTTTGTGCCGGCACTTTGCCGGGTGCTGGAGGTGTGGGTGACAGGGCAGGGCAGTCCCCGGCCTGAAGGTGCCCACCGTCCAGACAGGGATGCAGGCCAGGAGAGAGGTGGGAACGACAGGCCTCCTGAGCTGCTGTGTGAGCAGGAGCGAGGTGAGAGGGGCTCAGACTCTGGATCGAGGCTGAAGGCAGTCAGCACCACCATGACTTTCTGTTGGGTGTTGGTTGCGAGAGAGAAGATTTTTGGCCTGAGCCTCTGGGGATACCAAGTGCATCAGCAGAAATGGAGATGACATGGACGGGGCGGCGGGGGGGGGGGGGGGGGGGGGATGCAGAGGTTTCTTTTTTTTTTTTCTTTTTTTGGGTGGGGAGAGATCAGGAGTTCATTTGGACCCATCAAGGCCAAGCGATCCGTTGGACACGTAGTGGGCATGTCCAGTGGGCGCCTGGATAAAGCAGACAGGGAAGTTTTCAGAGACCAGGTCGAGATAATGGCGCACCGCCGGGAGCTGGAACCTCACGGAGGGTCTGTGAAGCCATGGGACCGGATGAGACCGCCAACGGGTGGTTTAACGAGAAAGGACCCAAGTACTGCGCTTGTGTTTCTCGAAGTCACGGGTGCATGGGCAACTGGCACAGAACGTTTACTGGTGCCTGTGCCACTGGGGGGGCAGCAATCTCACCGACCACCAAAAATCCTTCACCGACCACCAGTAAAACCTAGACACGAGCCGCTCCTGCAGACACTAGTAGTTTCGGGAGAGGGCACCCTAAGGCGGCGACTGTACCCGCGGAGCCGCAGAACAAGCTGTGGTGAGTTGCTCCGTGAAGCATGACCGTTCACCTCGGATGCTCGACTGCTCCTTAAGTTAGTTCAGCTTCAACCCAGCGTGTGCACATGAGACCACGGAAACGCTGACCGGGCACACGTGCGCACGCGTGAGACCCACACACGCCCTGAACTGCGCCAGGTTCGCGCCTGTGTCCTCACAGTCTTCGAATTACGAAAATCAGGCAGTCCCAACGGCGATCCGATTCTCTCATCCGGTGCTTGCAATCAAAGCAAAATTTCCGAAGCTCGCTCTGGCGAATGGCATTCTAAAGTCGGATAACACATTGCTGGTGGGTAGTTTTTATCCCGCGCTCTACTACCAGTCAACGCAAAACGTATAAATACATTTCCCGCATGCGATGTGTTAAAATTGTTCCCACTGGAAATGAAGTTGCTGTATTTTGTGATGATCATACACAGACGTTTTGGTGGGCAAAGTGTTGTGGCAACAACACTGTTCTTACTAAAATAAGAGACAGGTGGGCCCTGGCTGGTGTGGCTCAGTGGGCTGAGCACTGGCCTGCGAACCAAAAGGGTCACCGGTTCGCTTCCCAGTCAGGGCACATGCCTGAGTTGTGGGCCGGGTCCCCAGCAGGGGGTGCTTGAGAGGCAACCACACATTGATGTTTCTCTCTCTCTCTTTCTCACTTCTTTCTCCTGTCTAAAAATAAATAAATAAAATCTTTTAAAAAAGTTTAAAGTAAGAGACGGATGGAACAAACACAGACGGACTTCGAACAGGTTTCCACAATTCGTAGTTGCACATAACTAAGTTTTGATTTCTACCAACTGAAACACAGGTTGTAGTTGCCAGATTTACAAAATTTTGGAACACAGTTACTGAACTACAAAGCTCTTGTGATGAAGCTGATGGTGAGTTTGAAAAAACACAGTTTCAACATCTGTTTTCTTTCTCGGCTGCCTGTCACCAGGTTTTAGGGGACACTAGTGTAAGGGCCCTAAAATGTTATTAAATTGTTTGTTAAAGCAGACCTCTAAGTAGGTGGGTTTTGATCCAAATCAATTATAAATCTTTAATCAAGTTATTCAATAAATGTAGTACCAAGACATCAGCTTTTAAAGCTTTTAGCAGATTACAATGATTGAAAACAAAGCTTTTATGTGGACAATAATGAAGCTTTTTTTTTTTTTGCTAAAAGAGCAAGGGACAAAAATGAGCAAATTAAGTGATGAGAGCTCAAATAGCACACAAGATTTAATTTTAAAATTCTGTGATAAAATTCTGTGATGAGCTTTGGAACATCTCAACGTGTAGAAAGAATTTTTTTCAGGTGGATAAATTCATACTGTATATAGGAAAAAAGGTGAAATCAAGAAAATCAGTGGTCTGTAGCATCTACATTGAATAAAGCACTAGAAAATTAGACATAGCTACTGTTTATTTAAAGAGCTTAATCTGATAAATACATTTGTGAAGACAGGAACTCTGAACTAAGGCACAATGGCAGTGCCGGTGAAAACATCGGGGCTGAAACATTTGCGTGACCCTGTACGCAAAGCACTGGACTTGAGAATTTCTTGTCAGAACTTGCTCAGAGCTTATCAGGTGCCTCAGCACTTGCGGAGGGAACATTTCTTTCTTTTTTTTTTTTTTAAAGATTTTATTTATTTAGAGAGGGAAGGGAGGGAGAGAGAGAGGGAGAGAGAAACATCAATGTGTGGTTGCTGGGGGTCATGGCCTGCAACCCAGGCATGTACCCTGACTGGGAATCGAACCTGAGACACTTTGGTTTGCAGCCTGCGCTCAATCCACTGAGCTACGCCAGCCAGGGCTACATTTCTTAATTAAATATACTCTGGTCCAAGAAAAGAATCAATCAAAGGCATTCATTTAAATTTGTCAACTGTAAAATTGGAAGAAAAGGATTTCAGCAATTATACAGAACAATTCTAAATAATAAAATCGCGCTGAAAGAGGAAGACTCTCTTGAGGAAAAGGCCAGCGCCGTATCGGAGTCAGGTACAAGTCTGAGAAACTAATTATGGTTCCTGGACACGTGCCAGGCACAGTCACCTTGCTGCTGTCATTTCCAACGTCCAGTTAACAGAGGGAACAGGCTTTACTTTGCTTTAATATATGTGGGGATACACACACACACACACACACACATACACATACATATATATTTGATGTATATATCTTTAAAGACATATTTTTTTTGAAACAAGATTTTGACTGAAACTACTTTGTGACTCCATTCAATGTAATACAGCCAACTCGTTGTGGTAAGGCGCCCGGCCTGTGGGACTGGATGGGGCAGCCGCAGGGAACACACGTGCCCGTGTACGCGCACACCTGCCTTCTCAGGTGTGCGAAGTGGGCCGCCACAGCCCCCTCCCTCGTTCTGCACGGGGTCGTATGAGCCGCTTCTCAAGGCTGCCACTGGGTTCCGTGTCACTCCTTCCTGTGCCGCCCTGGGGGCCGAGGACGGCCCGGGCGACCTCTGTGTCTCTGCCCCGACCTTCCGCCAGGCCGAGGCTGCGGGGCGAGGCCCTGGCGCCCAGATCTGGCCCCGGGCTGCACCTGTGACGTGCTGAGGGCCCGGCACTGTGCTGGGCTTTCCATAACTGAGCCCGACAACGTGCCTGGGAGGAAGGGCGAGGCCTTTACGCCCATTGTGCAGAGGAGCAAACTGAGGCGAAGACAAAGAAACGACTCGTTAAGTTTGCGTGACAACAGCTCTGTTTCCTGGCCCCGTTCAGGGTCCACTGTCTCTCTTGTACGCCCTGCCGCGACTACAGAGAGAATGGGCCTGAAGGCAGGGGACCGGGGCTTCGGTCCAGGGGTCACCAAACTATGCGATGCTGGGCAGGTCCAGGGACTTCTCTGAGGCTCGGTTTCCTCAGCGGCGAGGTGGGAATGCTGGCGGCTATTGCAAAGCGTGGCTGTGAAGCTTGGATGAGCTCACGTGCATACAGCCCCTCGCAAGTTGTAAGCCATCAAATCCAAGGCTCAATGATGACATCTGCCACCTCATCAGTAGTGATCCTGGCTACAGGGGTAGTAACAGTGATGACCAAGTGTCCCGGTCCCTCTGAGCAGGAGCGAGGTCTCCTCCACGTGGACCACCCATGAGGGTGGCAAGTGCCCCTGAGCCCCCTCCCCTGCTCCCCTGACCACGGAACAGGTCGGGGATGCCCTGGGACCCGGCGCACGAGGGCACGGAGGTACCGGATTCCAGAAGGCTGGGCTCCAGGGGGCCTGGTGCCCGGGACTGTCCTTTGTCTCCAGCCTCGGGGCTGTGACCACCAGGAGTTTAAGGAGGAGCCACCAGAAAGGGCGGAGGACTCATGGTGGAGGCTGAGCGAGCCTACGGCTGTGGTCAACTTCGCTTCTCTCCCTCCCCTTCCCCAGGTATCCCTGAGCATGCGGGAAGGGGACCCACGTCCCCTCTGAAGTGTGCCTGCCCGGGCAAGCAAGGATGGCCCTTGGTGGACAGTGGAAGGGGCCTGGCTCTGTGTCCTCCTCCTAAGAGACCCCAGGGTCAGTGAGAGGCAGGAGCTGCCCAGGCACCTCTAGACCGAAGGGCCGGCCTTGGGGTGCAGGGCTGAAGGGTTGGCCGGATCACGGCCCCAGAGATGTCTACATCCTGGTCCCTGGGCCGGTAAATATGTTGTTGCTCTACCTGGCAACAGGGTCTTTGCAGGTGCTCGGAAGCTAAGGATCTCGAGATGGGGAGATGCGTTTATTAAGAAGACGAGCTTACCCTGGCTGGCGTAGCTCAGTGGACTGAGCGTGGGCTGCGAACCAAAGTGTCGCAGGTTCGATTCCCAGTCAGGCCACATGCCTGGGTTGCAGGCCCTGGCCCCCAGCAACCGCACATTGATGTTTCTCTCTCTCTCCCTCCCTCCCTTCCCTCTCTAAAAATAAATAAAATCTTAAAAAAAAAAAGAAGAAGATGAGCTTAACGTACTCCAAAGTGAAAGTGACTTCATTTATGAGGGAAAGGGGAAGGTGGGAGGGCCAGAGTGGCAGAGAGATCAGAGGATACTGCACAGCTGGCTTTGAAGACGGAGGAAGGGCCAGGACCTAAGGACCTCAGGCAGCCTGGAGAAGCTGGGAAGAGCAAGGAGCGGTTGGTTCTTCCCTGATCCTCAGAAGGAGTGCGGCCCTGCCGACACCTTGCTTTTAGCCCAAAGTGACTGATTTTGAACTTCTGACCTGCAGGGCTGTTTGATAATGACTGTGTTGTTTTCAGCCACTAAGTTCATGCTTGTTTGTTACAGCGGCTGCAGGAAAATAACACAGGGGCAAAGCTCGCCCCTGCCCTGGGGACCAGGGACGGCCACCTGTGCCAGCAGATGCCTGGCTTCAGCCCCAGTGCCATCATCAGTTCAGCAGACGCTGCCCCCTGCGCCCCCCCACCCCTGCCCCCCAGGACCCCACCGAGTCCCTGGCGGCTGAGGTCACAGCGTGTCTGCTCCAGCTGGGCTCATTTGCAAACACAGCTTCTGCCTATGTTTATGTACAGTTAGCCAGAGAGAAGAAATCTTCCTTCTCTGGTTCTTAGTTTTAGCTCTGATATTTGCCTGGCACATAGTAGGTGTTCAGTAAACAGCAGCTATTGCTGTTATGGGTAATGTTTGATCCTATTTGAAAATCTTAGGGGTGACAGCGGGCAAGTCTACTAGGGATGACCCTTCTGGAATTTCCATGAGCTATTTTGTGAGTTCTGCACATTTTAAGCATGGGCAGGTGGCCCTTGGAAGGCAGCTGGACTTTCTTCCAGTCGATTCCCAGGTCTGCAGTGGGGTGACGGTCAGAGGCCTTTGGGGGACAGTCACAGATGGTGAAGAATGTCCACCCAGCCACACAGTAACACGCCACTTTCAAGCCTCACATAATAACCCCACCAAAGACCAGTTATAAGCCTTACAAAATCTTGTCAGCGATCCCGGGCAGGCCAACCTGATTTCTATTCCTCACAGTTTGTCAGCGGTGACTGCGGCATCCGGGGGGGTTGCGCTCGGGCCCGGTGGGCTCCGTGTGACCCGGAGAGAGACTGCTGCTGCAGCCCCCACAGGCCGTTCCCAACCTCCCTGCAGCCCCCCATCCCTGCCCCCAGCCTTCTGGGACAGCAACCAACACCCAGAGTGGGCATAGGACACACATTTCTTCCACTGACTCAGAATTACGTTAAACACACACACACACTTACAGAAAGCTGTGTTTCTTTAACACTTAGAATTACCTTTAAAAACACACACACACACACACAAATTCTGACAATATTTAGTTATAAAAGAAAGATTAGTTTCTCTCTTTCCTAGAAGCACGGGCCCCCCCTTATGGTTCAGTCCTCGCAGGAGAAGAGAAAGGCGGTCACTTACTTAAACTCAGGAAGAAAACGAAAGCGCTCGCCGGGCCAGCCACAGACAGCCAGCGCTGCCTCCAGGGGTGCTTTCTCCTCTGGGAAGCACTTGGAAACAGGGTGGCCTTCCCTTATGTAACCTCTACTCCGATGACGTCATGGGAGGGCCTGCCGAGAAAGTGAGTCTTCCAGACGGGGGAGCGGGAGCGTGCTGGGGTGTGGAGAGGAAAGCTGTTCTGTGCTTCGGAGCTGGCAGGGGGTGGCTCCCTCCTCACCTCGCTAACAGGCGGGGAGGCCCGCGATGAGGTCCCCCCAAGAAGGGCCCATCAGCCAATGTGCCCCTAGAATGCACTTGGCACAGGGACCGTGCATGGTGCCAGATGGCCACCACACGAATGCGGGGATGGGGGGGTGTCACTTGGTAAGACATAAAAGTGTGTGGTCACAGTGCTGTGTGCCTGCAATAGTATAAGCCCACTGTAGGGGAAAAACAAGTGGAAAACTCTTAAAGAAGGCCAAACACGAGGCAAAACCCAAACCACACCTCCTTGGGCCTCTCGGAGTCCCCCCCGAGCCTTGGGCATCGGGCGACACTGAGTGATGACTTGGCCCCTTCGCAGCGGGGTCCTCCACAGCTTTCGTGGGAGCTGACTCCAACGCCCCCATCTGAGCTTCGGGCGTGCGGCATGCGCTGCCAAGAACCCCTCGGTGCGGACCCTGTGGACGGGCAGGGAGCCAGGAGAAGCCTGCCGCGTGCTCTGCGCAGAGCTGAGTAAAGTCAGACGCACTGTTTCCTAATCCCCCCTGGCAGCGCCGAGGCCCCTGCCTGAGCTGAGCGTGCATGCATCAGCAGGCGCTCCCACTAGACCTCCCCTCCAGACGGTGGGCAATGTCTGGCTTCCTCTGAGACTCAGGCCTCAGGGTCCTTGCACGTCTTCGTGTCTTCCTTCCATCTTCGCTTTTAAAGAGTAAGACGCTTCACGCTCCCTCCCTAGAGGCAGGACAGCGCGTCCCCCAAATCTCAGACCCTCGGGCCCCCTCCCCACCCTGGTCCTGCCTCTCGGCGTCTCCACAAACCCAGTGAATGTGGCCAGAGCAGAAAGTGTCCCCTTTGTCCTCAGAAGCTGGCCTTTCCCAGGTGTTTCCCTTTTGTGACCCCCCTTGTGTACGGGGGCAAACTGTGCTTTTGAATTTTTCAAGCAGTTTCTTCCTGTTGATGGACACCTTGAACTTGTGGAAGCAGGGGGAAAAAAATAAAAAGAACGCTTCCAGGATCGGTAGCAGCTGTGTGATTTAGAGAGGAAACTGGAATTTACCTCTGCAGAAGGCCCCTGCCAACCGGGAGTGACCTGGGACTTTCTTTGTTTTTTTTTTTAAGATTTTATTTATTTATTTTTAGAGAGGGCAGGGAGGGAGAGAGAGAGAAAAAGATGAGAGAGAGAGAGAGAGACATCAATGTGCGGTTGCTGGAGGTCATGCCCTGCAACCCAGGCATGTACCCTGACTGGGAATCGAACCTGCGACACTTTGATTCGCAGCCCGCGCTCAATCCACGGAGCTACGCCAGCCGGGGCGACCTGGGACTTCCGTAGCGGTGCAGATGTTAGGCCAGTGCCCGCCATCGCTCCAGGGTGGATTTTAACCGGAGAAAGTTTCCAAACCCCAGGATTTCCTAATCAGTACTGCAGACAGGGGGGGGGGGGGGGTCTGGCCAGGCAGCCTCCCTGCTCTTGCAGAAAGCGGCTGGCTCTCCCCCTTCGGTGAGTGTTTAGGCTGGACGATTTCTGGGAAGTGCTATTTCCCGGGCGGTGTCTTCCTGCCCGAGCACGTGTTCTCCACGGAGACGCCCCAGAGGTCTGGGCTCCGCGGCTCAGAGGACGCCTGTGAGGAGAGGCAGGCTGAGGCAGGGCCACGTGGCCGGGACTGTCTGTCTGTGCCCCGCGTGCCCCGGAGGAGGGCTGGGGGAGCCGGCCTTGAGGAAATGACTCTGTGGCAGTCTGGCTGGGGCCCGGGGGCCCTGCCCAGGGTGGGATGGAAGGTAACGGAGATGATTAACGCACAGAGGCTCCCCCTGCTGCTCACCAGGATGGGAAGTGGGAAGCAGACCTTGGTCTGGGGGAGGACAGGCTCTCCCTCTGCCTATGGGCCCCGGGGGCCTGGGAGCCTGCATTCTGGGGACGGAGGGCAGGGTGAAGGAGCCCCAAGTCTGTAAGGGACAATGGGTCCCTGTGGCATGGAGAAGGCGGGGGTGACTGGGAGTCACCGAAGTCCCCTGGGCCCTGGGACGTGGGGGAAAGCGTGTGAGGAGGACGCAGCAGCACAGAGACGGTCCTCAGGCTGGCGGGGCACCCGGGGCCACCTTGCAGAAACACAGGCCGGCCTGGCCAGCTGGGTGGGGCAGGCCCGCCTTCCCTGGGTGCTTCTGCATGCCGGGGCAGGGGGACCCGGGGCAGGGGGACCCCGGGCAGCCCCACTTCCCGGGGACGGCTGGCCCAGACCCTGCTTGATGCACGTTCAGGGGAAGGTGAGCTGGAGCTTGAAGAACGTGGGGACACACGGTCACTGTCCCCACCATGACATACGGGGTCACTTTTCATTTCGCTAATTGCTAAGAACTGCAGTCACTTCGTCTGGGCTCCTTTCTGGTCACATCCAGCAAGTTCTTCAAGGCGGTAGATTCCAGTATCCCTCCAGCATGTCCTTCCAATAGCATCTGTGCACTGAGCACCTTCAAGTGTATCATGAGTCCTTAGAGTGCATGACGGCCCTGCCGGTGCCGCCTCCACCTGTGGGTGGAGGAAAGAAAGGCAAAGCGGGCCGTTTCTCTCCAGGACTGAAGACGCAGTTCAAGTTCAGTCCCGCCAGCGTCCCTCCTCCCTGGTTCACGCCCTCCTTCCTCCCCGAGGTCCTAGACCTGCAGCCGCAGGTAAGCCTGCCGCAGAGCGCGGTGACCCGATCTCCTTGCTTCCTGATGTCTTTCCTTCACTCTGTCCTCGTGCTAGATAGATTAGCCTTCCAGAAGCACTGGGATTTGTCACTTCACGGGACAGAGGCCCAACCCCTTGGAATCACAGACCTGGCTGCGCTGTGACGCTCGGAGCCGTCCTCCACCCTGGGCCCCCGGCTCCGGCAGACAGGGGCGGCTCCCGGGCTGCTAAGACATCCAGACTCACCTTCCTAGGGGCGTTTGCTGGAAACGACCTCCCCGCTCCTCCCCGCCACTTGATACCCACCCACCAGTAAGCCCCGCTGTGGCCCCCTGCCCCTCTGCGAGCACAGGTCTGAGCGTCCGTCCCTCTCTTCTGCAGACACGGGCGGACCCCCTACGCTCACCTGCACCAGGTGAGTGCAGGCACCCGGGGGCGGAGAAGAAGGCTCGGAGCCCAGCCCGGGGCTGCTCACACTCTGGTGACCAGGCAGGTGAGCCACGGACATTTGCAGCCAGGTGTGCCCACGCCACCCTAGAAGAGCACACACAAGCGGCTGGGATGGCGGTGGCAAGAGTAAGGCGCCAGGATGTGAGGGGGACAAAAACGAAATCCTAAACGTAGGTTCAGCAAAGCCCCAGCACCTGCACCCCCACGGGGCATGTCCTGGGCGTCGGGCAGCTGTGGGCGTGGCCCTGGCCGGCGATGATGACCATTTAGACCAAGAGAAGGGCCCTGGTGCCGGCCACTGGGCAGGAAAAGCTCTGCTGGGCCAGGGGTTTCACAGACCAGGAGGGTTTCTGAAAATCCACGCAAAACTCCATCTCCATGTTGGCCTCCTCACTTCGGGAGCTGAAGGCTTCCGCGCCTGGGCCGTGGGGCTCACCAGACCCTCCTCTTATGCAAGCCGTGAGCTCACGGGGCACCGGGCCAGGGCAGGCGTGCCCCCAAAGGTGTGGACAGAGCAACAGGTTCAGCCCAAAGCGAGGCCTTCTCGAGAGTGTGGGTGCAGAGAGGGGAGCTGGCCCACCTGTGAGACACCCCGGGAGAGAGCTGGGGGGGCCAGGCAGTCCTTGGGATGCTCCCACCCCCAGTTTTTCCACCTGGGAACGGGCCCTGCCCCCTTCGAGAGCTGCTGTGAAGGTCAGATAAACTCGTGGAGCGATGTTCCCAGGAGCGGGTGATGTGTGGGTGCTGGTGTAGCTTTCCCCAGCTCTGTGGGCTTCCTCTGTGGCATCTGGCAGAAAGCGCCCCAGAGGAAACACCTCTTCTGTCATTTTCCAGCCTAGAGGCTGCTGAACTGGCCCGCGTGGACAGCAAAAAATGGGGGCACGGACTACAGTGATTTTTCCTTAGAAACCGGTAGTTCTCAGTGGAGTCGACGCCCTGAGCATCCTGCTCAGGAAGTCACAGAACAGAGCGGGGTGGGGGGGTGCTGAGTGATATAAAAGACCCCCCTTTTTTCCAGGGGTTCCTCCCCACCGACTGGGTTCGTTTGGCCTGCCGCCTGAGGAAAGATGTCTCTTAATACCAGAGATCAGTGAAAAGGAAAGGAATTTATTGTTTATTTGAAATAACACAAACTAAAGTTCCCCACAAATGCACACGGTCCTCCCGGCACCCTCCGCGTGGCAAAAGGGAGCACTTCCAAAGCTTCATGGTCTTGACTCCCACCCAAGCTGCGTGGTCCCAACCAAGACACCAAAGCCACGTGGCCCTAAACAGACGTGTGGTCCCACAAAGGGAGACGCCCAATGGTTGCTGTGCCTCTGTTTAAATCCCAGTGTGCCAACCTTCCTCTGCAGCCCCATTTCCGGCTCCTCCCACAATTGGCCACAGCTGCCCGCATCCAGGGCAGGGGTGGCCCTGTGGTGTGGAGCCAACTATCTCCAAGCTCTTCTGGACCCCGTCACAACTCCCTATTTGGGGCTCCCCCTTGCCTGCACCCTGTTACAAACACATGTCACGTTGGTCCCCAAGAGAGGTCGTCTTCCATGAGCTGCAAAACTCTGGGCACGGGAGACCTGAAGATGCCAAAGGCAATTTTTTGCCTTTTTTAAAAATTTTTACTTTTTTTTTTAGAGAGAGGAAAGGGAGGAAGAGAGAGAGAAACATCAATGTGCGGTTGCTGGGGGCTGTGGCCTGCAACCCAGGCATGTACCCTGACTGGGAATCGAACCTGCAACACTTTGTTTCGCAGCCCGCGCTCAGTCCACTGAGCTACGCCAGCCAGGGCTCAACTTTCACCTTTTGTTAGATTCCAAAGCCAGAATCTCACGCTCTGGCCTGGAAGTCGCGGTGGGCAGGTCTGGGCCACAGGGCCGCCTTGCCAGGGGTTCGACCCCAGCTCCCTCACGGGTGAGCTGGGTGAACTTGGGCCATTGTCTGTAGCCCCCCGAGGAGCCTCAGTGTCCTGGCCTTCGCAGAGCTGGGGATCACACGCAGTGACGGGGAGAGGCAGCCGGCCCTGGGTCAGCCACCCGCAGCATCAGCTCTGGTGTAACTGCTGGGCTGTCGCACAGGGCGGCGGGGCGCCAGCACAGGAGGGGTCACACGGCTGTCCTCCATCCCGGCCAGGACTGGAGAGAGGAAACCGGTGCACGTTGCTGGCCCCCCAAGTGCGCCGTGCGGGGTGGCTCGGCCTGGAGGGCGGCGTCCAGAGGGGCTGAGGAGCCCCGTCTCGGGCTGTTTCTCCAGGCGGCCGATGAACAACTTTCCCACCCACGTGGGTGCAGTGGCTGGGCTGTCTGCGAGCCAGGAGCCGGGCCCTGTGGTCTCTCTTCTCACCCCCGCCTGAGACTCCCCAAATCAGCCTGACTTCGGGGCCTGGAGGGGTGGGGAGAGAGGAACGGGGCAGCTGGTCCCGAGTCACTGGAGACGGGGCATGCGGACCAGCACCCGCAGGCATGGGACGTGTACACTCTGAGCACCGGGCTGGCCCCCAACACGCTGTGTGACCCTGGGAAAGGCCTACTGTCTTCCCCTTGAGAAATTCCCCAAGGTCTGCAAGGTAGACACCCTATTCCTTCTGGGAAGTCGTCGGTCACAGGCTGGCCCCCGTGGCCGTCCGGGACCTGAGGAGTGCAGCGACTCACTCTTCCACCGTTGCGGGGGAAGGAGCGCTCGGCCGTGAGGGGCAGCCCCCAGGGGAGCCTGCCCTTGGGACGAGTGAAACGCCGCATCGGCCTCAGAGCGCCGCGGATGGGGCGGCTTGAAACAGCGGGCATTGATTCTCCCCCGGCTCAGGAGGCAGAAGTCCAAACTCGCCCGAGGTGTCGGCAGGTGGGTCCCTCTCAGCGGCTCTGGGGGAGACTCTGCCTGCCCACCCCTCTCCTCTGGCGTCTGGTGGCTCCGGGCAGTCCCCAGGGTCCCTCGGCCTGTAGAAGCGTCATTCCAGTCTGCCCGCTGTGTCCCTGTGCGCCCTCCCCTTCTCCAATAAGGACCCCGGGCACTGGACGGAGGGTCCACCCTGATCCAGCGGGACTGTGTCTTCATTACGCCCGCAGAGACCTGCTTCCCAGATAAGGACACACCCTGAGGTTCCGTGTGGGTGTGACTGTGGGGGGAGGGGAACAGTATCCCACCCACGAGAACACCTCCATCTCACTTTATCTTCACAACACCCGGGTCCTCATTTCATAGAAAAAACACCTGGAGCCGAGAGACGCCGATGGACCTTGTCCAAATGCCTGCCGCCAGGCAGCGGCAGAGCCGGGGTGTGAAACGGGACCCTGGCCTCAGCCTGGGCGGCCCTGGCACCTGGGTGTTGCCCTGGAGAGTGAACAAAGTCCCCTCTCCAGAGACACGAGCTCTGGGTGGGATGGGCACCCTTGTGGTGTGCTCTGCCCATTTTGCAGAGGAGGAAACTGAGGCCAGAGGCCCGGGACGGGGAGTGGAAATGAGTCTCGTGGTTGGCCAAGGTCGCGCGGTGAGGAAGTGGCATGGTAGGGACTCGAGGCCTGGCCTCCACAGTGTCCCCTACTGTTAAATATCGTGTCTCAGTGTGAGCTAGACGACAGAAGCCAGATGCATAGGGTGTGATTCCGTCTACGTGAAATGCCCAGCACAGGCGGATCTGGGGACAGAAGAGGCGGTGGGGAGGGAGGAGTGAGAGGGATTGCTGATGGCCAGGGGGTTCCCCGTGGGGTGACGAAGGTGTTCCGGGATGGATGGCAGGGGCGGCTGCACGTGCGTATCCTGCGTGGGAGGGGCGCGCCCCCGGGCATGGGACTTGCATCCCCACAACGCGTCTCAGCGTCAGGTGCGGGCCCCCGGGTCTGGGGCGGTGGCTGTGCAGGGACTGATGCAAAGGCTGCTTATTGGGATGGAAACGGCTGGAGCCCAGGCCCAGAAGCTCTTCGCGCAGAAAGGCCACGGAGGGCTTTCTCCATAACACAACTGGCGTCCCTCTGTTGAGGCACAAACTCACAGAGAGCAGCCGGGCTCCAGGGCGCCCCTCTGCCTCCGCCGCTTCCATCTCCGGGCCTCAGCTGCCGTCTCAGTGCTTGGGAGGGTCCCGTCTAAATGAGCTCAGCAAAGGGTGAGACGTGGTGATGGGGCCCCTTCAACCTCAGCCAAAACCACAAACCATTAACCTTTCAACCGTGGCTCTTGCTACACCATGACCCCCCAGCTCACCCCCGACACCCACATCCTCCCGGGGTTGGCCAGAGGTCACAGCTGTGCGAGCCTCTGCAACAGGCTCAGGGATTGAGCAACAAGGAAACAATGAAGCACATCGCTGGGGCAGTGAGTGGAGACTTCCCCTCCCGAACCACAGAGATTGCACCCGAGTGGCTCTCTGCATGGACAGTAGCCGTCATCATTGGCCAGCTCCTGTTGGGTCACATGCATTCAGTCTGTGCCTCTGCACCAGACCCTCGCTGGCTCCAGCCAGGGCAGTCTTGGGAGCTGGGCCCATTTCTGGGTTCTGAGCCCACCAGCGGACCACCTGGGCTCCTCCCCATTGCACCAGCTTCCTAGGGCTAAGGAGGGTCAGGGGTTGGGCGGCCGGTCATGTTGCCTGGCTGCGGCTGGGGTTGATTGCACCCTAGCCTGTTTCCACCTGCCGAGAGCCCAGCTCAGATGCCCAGCCAGGCGGCTTCCCCAGAACCGCAGGCCCCCTTGAGCTATGCTCCTGTCTTTCAACAAAGTCCCTCGGATGAGCGAGCTCCTTGGGGCACGTGTGGGCAGCTTCCTCCAAGTCTGAGGCCGCGAGGGTGGGGGTGCGGGCTGGCGGCAAGCGAGGGCACCAGAAGGGGCCTGGACGCTCTGCCGGGCTCTGTGCAGACCCTCGTGTCCCACGGGCCTGGGGGGCGGGGCACGAGCCAGGGGGCAGAGAGAGGGAGAGACACGAGGCAGGGCTTGGTGCATGACCGCTCCCGCAAGCCACGTTAAGGATGTGGAACTTTAAAAAAAAAAAGATTCTATTTATTTATTTTTCGAGAGAAAGGAAGGCAGGGAGAGAGAGGGGAAGAGAAGCATCGATGTGGGAGGCACATGGACCAGCTCCCTCCCACACATGCCCCAGCCGGGAACCGGACCTGCAACCCAGGCACGTGCCCTGACCGGGAATTGAACCGGCGACCTTTCGCTTTAGGGAACGCCGCCGACCCACTGAGCCACACTGGTCAGAGCAGGATGTGGGCTCAGAGCTGGAGTGGGACACTGGAAGGGGGTTTCCTGTTAGAGGGTTCCACGGGCACTCTCACCGTTGTCTTCATCTTCATCACCACCATCCTCACCATCACCATCGTGACAGCTCACACATGCTGGGTGCCAGCTGCGTACCAGGCACCGTGCCAAACACTTCCACACACCAGTTCTGTTGGCAGTTCTTCGAGATAGGGGCCGTCATCCCCCCCATTTTACGGATGTGAGTGTGGACCCCGAAAGGACGCGCGAGATCCCCGAGACCACGGAGCAGTGAGAGGCCGAGCCAGAACCAGGACTGGAATCCGTTCCGGTTTCCAGCGTGGTCCGCCCGGCGCCAGAGCCTTAGCCCCTGACCACCGCACGCTGCACGTCTCTCCGCGACAGCGTGTGCACTCTCCGACGGCGTCATCGCCTCAAGAGCGGAGACGAAGCACTGGGAGACAGTGTGGCTGACAGCACAGGTGGGGAGACCGGTGAGAGAGGTGGTTAGGCACCACCGAGAAAGAAGATGATTCAGGAAACGGGTGAAATCCAAGAGCTGCCGACCCGTTCAGCAGAGGAGGTGAAGGAGTGGGGGCATTCTTTAGCGGGCCCCAGCTTTCTGGCATGGACGGACGGACAGACGGACAGATGTGCAGATGGGCAGTGCCGTTCCCGTAGACACAGAAGGCAAGTTTTGTTTAACGAATGAGGGAATGGATGAATAGATGAGTAATGAAGGGGACCCCAAGTGGGTAGATAGTGAGTTCCCCGTCACTGGGAGTATGCAAGTAGTGGGTAGACAACTGTTTTAATCTGGACCTTGGAGAGGACGCTGCTGATTTGGCAGAGAGGTCAGATGAAAAGCACTCCATAAATATATATTACATGTGCAAATGGTGGAATCACCGCCATTCGATGATTCTGGGCCTCCCAAGCCCCTGGTGGGAGCTCGGCGCAGAGTTGCCAATGGAGGAGTGTAGGATGGGGGAAGTGTTCAAATCCTATTTCATTTTCTTCAATTTCTACTTGAGTCTCTTTCAGAGTGTGCGTTGCAATACGTGTGAGTAAGTATACGTATGTGGCCCGTGGCGTTAAAACCCTTTTGCTCAGAAGGGCACGCCCCACAGAGGCTCAGACACCACGGAGCCTCAGGGCAGAGCCGTGCAGGAGGTTCGGCAGAAACGAGCGGAAGCCCCAGGGCTCCTGACTGCCACTGGCGGCGTCCGGAGGTGGCGCAGGGCTCTGGGAGCCGGAACAAGAGGAGGAGCCGTGCAGACACCCCTCCATTCACGCTGTTAATCAGGAAGCACGCGGTTTGCACCGGCAACCAGTCTCTTGTCGTCTGTGCCGTGCGCCCGCCTTACAAAGCGGCGGCAGCTCTCTGAGGCGCTCGCAGGGCAGGTGTCCTTCACTGAGGCGCCGGCACCACCCCCAGGCAGCTCCCCTCCTGCAGAACAGCCCCGGCTCTTCAGACCACGTGTGGTCTCAGGGATTGCTGGGAGCCCAGGGCCCTGAGGAGGCCCTGCTCCTAGGAGACCCTCAGACCAACCGCACCCACTGAGGAGTGAGGGCCACACAAGTTGCAAAGTGGCCTTTCTCTTCCACTCCCAACATGTGCGTCATTTAGCTTCCTTCCAACACTGTACGGCCCCTCCTTCCTCTTCCCCGTTTTCTCCTGCCAGCTCCAAGGGCATGTGTTTACTGGGCGGAGGGCGTGGCTGGCGGGGCTGGGGTGCGGTGGGGAGCTGGAATGGGGAGGGAATCGTTCCTGACCCTTCTTGCTTTAAAATCTGGAGCTGAACTGGTCAGGATTTGTGGGCGCTTTGCCTGACGCCCAGACCCTCCTGGTCTGGTCCTCCAGGTTCTGTCCCCCCCAGACCCCGTTCCGTGTGCATAACAACACCTCACATTCACGTAGCACCAATGGATTTTCAAAGTACGTCTATGCCAGTCCCGTCCTTTAAGCCTCACAGCCTCACGTGACAGAGGGGGAAACCGAGGCAGCTGTCAGAGGAGCTGGGTCATCAGGCACCTCGCCCCTCTGCCCTGCGTAGCACCCAGGATTTGCTCGACCGTGCCTCAGGGAAGACTTCCAGGGGCCACTAGAGCTTGCGAGCTCCTTCCAGACAGAGCCTGCCCTTTCTCTTTCCAGCCTCTTGCCTTCCGTGTTCAATGCCATGTAGGTGCACAGCAGGTGCCGGATTAGTGCTTATTGGGTCCTTCTTGGGCATAGACCCTCTTGTCTGTGGGCAAGGGGAGTGACAGGGTCCTGATCTCCTGGGTCTCACCACGGACCCTCAGAGGTTCACTTTCATTCGTCTGCAGCATCAGCCTCCGCAGTCCTGGCCCAGTGGCAGCACCCGGCCAGGCACGGCGCACGCACTCAGCCCCGCACCAAAGCTGGGGGCTGGTTCTCCTGGAGTCCTGAGCTGTCACGCTGGGGCAGGCGGGGGTGGGGGGGACACCACGTGGGAGGAAAGCTCAGGCACTCCTGTCCCTGTCCCCAGGTCCCATCCCCTCCTGGGAAGAAGCAGACCCGGCCCCGGTGTGGCAGCAAATAAGAATAATGCTGTCGCGCTGATGGAGCCCTTGCCTCTTCGCGGGGTCGCCCCATCCACACATCTGTGCTTGCGGCAACCCGGGCCGGGCAGGAATCGTGCTCCCGGGTTTACCGCAGACGCCGACCCGTTGCCCACGGTCCCACGCGGGATGACTTCCGTTCCTAGCTAGGCACACCCTGCGGAGCGACCGTCCACGAGCCCTCACACACATCCAAGGTGGCCCAGGCGCCTCCGCTCACTGGCTGCTGCCCACCCACACCGGCAGTTTGTGGACCTGCCGATCCACCGAGATGGAGGTCCGCATCGTGCCCATGGAGCTCTCGGTCAGGTTGGGCTGTGCCGCGCAGCCCCCCGCCCGGCAGAGGCGCTGGTACACCTCCCGGGACTTCTTGCGGAAGCGCTTGCCCACGATGGCGTACACCAGCGGGTTGAGGCAGCTGTTGCTGTAGGCCACGTAGGAGGCGATCTGCGTGAAGACGTCGACCACGTGCTCGTCCCGGCAGCCCGAGAGGACGCCCAGGCGCAGCAGCGTGTCCAGGAAGGTGCTGATCTGGAAGGGCAGCCAGCACAGCACGAACAGCAGCAGCACGGCCAGGACCAGCACCGTGGCCTTCCTCTCCGTTTGGATCTCCTTGAACTTCTGCATCTCGTTGTTGCGGAGCACCTGCATGATCTGCACCGTGCAGAAGGTGATGACGCTCAGGGGCAGGAGGAAGCCCACGACGTTCAGGAGCATGTTGGTGAACACCACCCAGCTGCGCGACGGGTAGGTGATGATGCAGGCGGTGACGTTGTGGCCCTCGGCTCTGTAGTCCTTCATGGTCCGGAAGGCCAGGATGGGCGAGCTCAGGAGCAGCGTGCACGCCCAGATCACCAGGCTGTAGAGTTTGGCCCAGCGCACGCCGCGCAGGCGGCCCGCGGACATGGTCTTCACCAGGGCCAGGTACCGGTCGATGCTCACCAGCATCAGGAAGCAGATGCTGCTGTACAGGTTCATGTAGGTCATGGTGTTCACCACGCGGCACAGGGCCTCCCCGAAGAGCCAGTCGAAGTTGTTGGCGATGGTGATGGCCCAGAAGGGCAGCCCGCAGGCCAAGATCAGGTCGGCCACGGCCAGGTTGCCCAGGTAGATCTCCGCCACCGTGCACCTGCTCTTGTGCAGGCAGAAGACGCTGAGGACAAAGACGTTCTCGAGCGCCGCCAGCACGAACAGCACCCAGAGGAAGGGGGCCTGGATGGTGTTGAGCCAGCCCCACCAGTCGGAGTGGACACAGCCGTGGCTCTCCACATGGGTCCCGTTGAGAGCAGACAGAAGGACTCCCGAGGTGAGGTTGAACATTGCAGCGCTGAAAGTGGAAAAGAGACTGTTACACCTCGAGGCCTTAGACGGAGGAGAGGTGGCTGCTGTGGAAGGAGAGGGGCACCCAGCGCACAGCGTCCGGGAGGCGAGGCCAGGGGTGGACCTGGGGCCCTTTCTGTGGCCACCGCGCTCCAAGAGGCAGCTCAGGCTCATCGGACCCCCCGGGGCCACGGGGAGGCAGCTCTGCCCCTCGGGCCTGCAGGGACAGCCCACGTTCCTCATCTCCTGGCTCCGCTGGGGTGTCTCCCTGGCCAGAACCCATCGCCAGCACTAATGACCGTGAGTTCTGGAAGCTTCCGGGAAGGGGTGATGTGTGGTGCACACTCGTTCCTTATTGTGTGGACCCTTCCAAAAGGAGCTGGCCGCCTTTTAGCCTCTCCTGGCCTGGCCCTAGGTGATGAGGTGATTAATCTATGAGACCGGAAACATGATGTCAGGCCAGAGAGGGAGATTCCACTTGGCTCTGAGACCACGGCCCATCCCCCCGCCCCCCCCGGGCCTTCCTCCTGCTGGTAGCGGGCAGCGCCGTAGTGTCGGACCCTCCCTGGGCAAAGCATTCACAGTGGTCAGAGGTTATGTAATACGGAGGGAGGGCGAGGGTTTTGGAGCCAGACCATCCTCCTGGGTTCAGATCCTGGCTCATGCCTTAGCTGTGTGACCTTGGGTGAGTTAATCAACCCCTCTGAACCTCGATGACCTACCTTGTAACACAGGACTAATAAAACCTACCACTCGGGGTTGCACGGAGGAGCTCAGTTAGTTATCTCGTTCTGAGAAACTATCTATCGAAACAGCCGACGCCGGTGCCACAGTTTGCATTGATGTCTGGATCGATGACTTCACCTTGACCGCGGGGGCTCCTGTCCTGCTCTTGGGTGAGACTCGGGCCGCCGGGCAGCTCGCTTTCCAGAAGTGTTGCTGTTGAGCCCGATTCACCCCCCCCTTTCAGCAAAACAGTCTGGGTTCACTTAACCCACTGTGTATTCCAGCCCCAGCTGTGCAGTTTTGGCAAACCGCCGGACCTTTCTGAGCTTCCATTCTGTTCTCTTCGCTTTGCATGGCTGTTGCAAGATTCGAATGAAAGAGTGGGCATGGAGACATCGAAGAGCTTGAAAACACAGCCCAGAGGGCCGGACTAGTAGCCGTTTCCCTGGTGCCCCGTGGGGTGGGGGAGGGGAGGGGCAGGCAGAGGGGCTTTTCCTGGGCGGTGATGGTTGCGCAGGCTCCGCGGGAGGAATTGAGCAACGAATCCTGGGAAGAACTTGCTGGTTGCCCCGGGATTTCTCAGCAAAAGCCCCTGTGGTTCCGGGAGCTGCTGCCCAGCTTCGGGGGGCCAGGCTGGAGACTTGTGGTTAAACGTTCGTTGGTGCACGTATCCTTCCAACGTGTCCTGGTCCGTGCCAAGCCCCGCCCTGGCTGTGGGGGCCCAGAGGGGAATACCAGTGTCCCCCCCCACCCCGCGCTGCCCGGGGCCCTGCATGTGACGAGTGCCGAGGGGCAGGACGAGGGGCTGGCGGAGGGCAGAAGGTGGGAGGTGACTCCGGAGCTGGGTCTGGAAGGATGAGGAGCCAGGGAGGAGAGAGGACACACCAGGCGGCGGTGCACCTGCGGGGAAGCCACGGGCGTGCTCCGGAGGGCGGGCTAGACGTTCGAGGTGGGGAGGGGCCGGAGATGGGGCCGACGACGGGGACGAGACAGCCGTCACGGGGGGCTCAGAACTCGAGGCGCTGCCACCCCCCCCCCCCCAGGGCTCCAAGAAGCCAGGGGCAGGACGGAAGACGTGCTCTGGGAAGTCTTCCGGCGGCTCCGACATGCTCCACATCTGTTGCTACGCCTCCCTTCCGAGGGTGGAGACTAGCTCCTCTCCCCCTGAACTCGGCGACTTGCTTCCCAGCCACGGTGGCGGAGGCGGGGACAGCGCGTGACCTCCGAGATGAGGGCACAGAATGCAGTGCAGCGTCCTCCTCGGACTCTTGGGCCGCTGACCTGGGGGCCGCCCGGCACCACGGCGTGAGGACACTCACAGCCTTGTGGGTCCGGCTGAGGCCCGAGACGTCACGGGGCACGGACAAGCCGTCCCCCCCGCCCTCGGTTCCTGACCCACGCAAACCGGGAAGCCTTGGCCAGGCCGCCCCGGACGGTCCCTGTGCCCCCACCCTGGGCCCCGTTTCAGTGGCCACAGACACCTGTGTCCTCGGCACTCCAGGCCAGGGCTGGTCCCTCACGTTCGGGCTCTCCAGGGACTGGAGCTTCACGCCAGAGGCCACCTCTTAACTTTCTAGCAAGACAGTCCCTCGCCCGCAGGGGGCACCTGGCCCGGAGCTGGCCCTGAGATGCATAGGAGGGCCCGAAGGTGGCCTGAGGAGGCTGTGACTGGGGGTCAGATGCAGGGCCCAAGCTCCGTGGCCCCAGCTGAGACGGCCGCCTGGTGATTTCCTTCGTCTGGGTCCCGCACCTGCCACGGGACCCAGAGGCCAGGCCGGGCCCCTCTCCCCTGTGTCTGGGCAACACCGCCCCCACTTGGGGCCGACCCTCCCTTTCTCCTGCTTCTCCTTGGGATAAGTTCCCCCCCATTCTCTCTTTAGAGTGCCCGGCCTTCCACAAGACGGCAGCCACGTTCTGAGGACGTCTTGTCTCCGCGGCGACCTGGCACATCCTGGTGACTCCTTGGGCGTTGACCTCAGAGTTGCACCGTCTTCATGTCCAAGTTCATCCAGGATGGTGCACCTGTGACTGCCGGTAATGTGGCCTCTCCCCGTGGCCCCTTCCCCAAAGCCCACAGAACCGCCTCTGCCCCACGGGCCTACGGGGGTTTGAACACTGGCCTCGCCAGGCCTTGAGAGGTATGGTCTTTGGATTTCACACTGCTGTTGCTGCGACCGCTGTCCAGGAGATGAGGGTCCCCTCTCCCTCTCTTTCTCCGGGTGGGAGGCCCGCCTCCGCCCACACACGTCCGTGCAGGAGTCTCTGACTCACCTGGAGGGGACCGTGGTGGGCACCGGCTCTTCATAAACAGACAGGAATGTGGGTCTCTTCCAGACAGACCACATTTGGACGCAGAGCGGATGGGAGTGAGGCCTCACCGGTGCTGGCTGGAAGAGGAAAGACGGTTAGAAGGCAGCCGGGGACCCCGAAACACGTGCTCCCCACCGGGCAAGGCCGGCGGGGTCCTTCGCTCCAGAGCTCCGCCCTGCGCCTGGCGCCGGGGTGTGATGCTGAGGACCCGCCAGGAGCCTCCGTGTGCCCGCCAGGAGCTCCTGGTTCACCGCGGAAGCCAGGCACGACTCAGACGGTCAGGGAATGACGGGCAACCGGTATCAGTGAAGGAAGAGGAAGGTCCCATGACAGCGCGTAGCACGGGGTCCTGGTGCAGCCTGGGGCAGGGGACGCGTGGGCGTTTATTGCGAGACCCGAGGGTGAGCGGGAGCTGACAGGGTGAAGGACCGCGGTGGAGAGGAGGACGTCTGGGCGGCAGGAGCTGCAGGAGCAAGAGCCCCGAGGCGGGAAGAAGCTGGAGGTATGTGTGTGTCGGGTTCTGGTGTCTGCGGGGGCGGGGGGGGGCGGGATCCAGGGTTGTGGTGGGCGGGGAGGTGGAGGGGGGAGCGGAGCAGAAGCAGGGAGGCCTGTTAGCAGGTGCTGCGCATTAGTCTAGGCACGGGACGGTGGAGCCCGAGGGGCGTGCGTCCCGGGGGTCTTCAGAGCCTACAGCTGCGTGCCTGGGGCGAGGCGGGAAATGGAGGGGCTGGGGATGAGCGAGAGGGCGTGCCGAGGACACCCCACCCTTTCCCCTCCCCTGAACGGAAGAAGGGGGGCGGGCTGACTAGGAGAAGCAGGATCCCATGCTGAGACTTGAACCTGTGAAGTCTGAGGTGCTTTTGTAACTGGCAGGTGTGGCTGGGACAGCTGTGGGCCCAGTGCGGGTGTGCAGCTCGGGGGAGGAGGGGCCGGGGCTAGAGGACAGGCTGGCCAGGAGGTGAGGGAGGGGAAGTAGACTCAGGACCTCTCGGAGCTTACACCCTAATGAGGGGGACCGGGCGGATGAACCTCTGCAGCCACCGTGGTTGCTGATGCCACGAGCTCTCGGGTCTGAGCCGGGCGCTGACCTGCTGCATCCCAGGTCCAATGGGGTGTCCAGGGACAAAGCCCGTCTCTGCTCGGCCTCACCTTTCCCTGCACCCCCGCCCAGGGAGGTCGGCGCCGGCTGTACGCTTGCCTCGAAGGGGAAATGAGACGCAGAGGGGTGTGGTGACTTGTCCCAGAGTCGTTGCCAACACACCTGGTGGTGGGGCCCCACCCCCTTCTGCTGCCCGACCTGGAGCTCTCTCCAGGACCCCACGGCCCCTCTCGCTCCTGGCCGGGGTGGCGTGAAAACCCGGGTGCACGCGTGCATGTGGGCGTGTACGCGGGTGGAGCCCCAATCTGCCTGCCCCTGCCTCCAGCTACCCCTTGGCTGCAGGAGTCTGCAAACGCAGCACCGGTCTTCTAGGCCCCCCTGTGCTCACTCGGCTGTGGGAGGTGGAGCTCAGGCAGTGGACACGGGCTTAGGAGACTTGAACACCTTGGAAAAGGAAGAGCCGGGGTTGTTAAACAGGAAACGAAGGGGACTCGTGTTCCATGAATGCTCGTTGGAGGTTTAGGGGAGCCCTCAGACAGGGCTGAGGCCGAGATTTGCAACTTGCCCAGGACGCCACGAGCTGCAAAGCCCGGCGGATCCTTCAAGGAGGGGGCTCCAGGGGAGGGGAGGAAGCCCTGCCCGCCCCTCGGGAAGAAAACTCAACGGGGGTCACGTGCTCCAACGAGGCGTTTCTCAGCGACAGGTGCGGAGTGTTTTTGGGGCGCTGAGATTCCGTGGCAGAGAGAGGAGACAAGCTTTCTCAGTCAGGGACAGCTGTCCAGGTACCTCGGGGCCTCCAAGCCCGGCCACCTGGCGGGGAGCCCAGGTTTCCTGCCTGCGTCTGCCTGGCTGGGTGTCCCCGGATCTGGCCGAATCAGCCCAGCGGGATCCTGACTGCTTGCCGAAGGCTGTGAACATCGCTCGCGTGTTCAAAACAAAGCCGAGGGCTTTCGGCTCTCCAGACGCCCGGAGACCCGTGGGCTGAAGGGTCCCGGAGAAGCGGGAGTCTGAGGTGATTCTAGTCGTTCCTCGGTCTCTTCTCTGGAGACCTGCAGTGTGCTGGGGCAGGACCTTCGCCTCACTCCAGGTCACTCTCCCTGCAGTCCCCTCCAGGGCCACCATGGGTGGGCTCTCTGCCATCCAGCACCCCATGGGGTTTTGATCAGGAGGCTGAGGGAGGGAGGGGAGGGGAGGGGAGGGAGGAGGGGGTTTTGCCTCTCAGCTCCCTCCCTGTGAGCCTCCAGGGCTGGCTGTCCTCTCTCTAGCTCAGGCCCCTAGTGGGGAGGGAGGGAGGGAGGGACAGCGGGCGGGACCTCTGCTCTGTCCTGCAAATAGACCCTCCATCAACCTTCTCTTCATGTCACCCGGTTTGAATGCACCCCGTTTCCTTCTGGGGCCCTGACCAATATACCCCGGGCCTTGTGAAATCAGGTGTCAGAGGATTGTTCGAAGGACTTTTCGGGGAGCAGGCCCACTGGCCCGGGGGGTGGCGGTAGTGGCCAGGAGTGCGCCTCTGTGTGTGGGTGGTCTTGAATCTGTCCCTTCACTCCCCTGGGGGCTGGCCCCCTGCCCCCCACAGACTCTGATCCTCGAGCCGGGGTGGGGGCAGGAGGAGGTGACGCTGACCCCTCCTTCTCCAAACCAATGATGCTTTGGAAGGAACACCCAGCGTTCTGAGTCACCGGTACACTGCCCCCCCCCCCCAGGGTTCTGTCCGAGAAGACTTACTTTCAAAATATTTCCTTTCTTTGACTCATATAAACATTGGGTCTTGGAGCTGTCAGGAGAAAATTCCCCTTGAGCCTGAGAGGGAGTTTCTTTTGGTTTCCCAAGAATCCGTGACTAGGGGGCTCGGGGGCTGTGGCCCCCACGGAGCACGAAGCAGCACCTTCCTGAGGGCTGAGTTTTGCCTTGTCCGGGGCACCCGGCCTCGGAGCCCGTCCAGCCCGGCGCTTGGTGGCTGCCTGGGGGAGGCGGAGCACTGTGCGCTGGACGGTGAGTAGCTGCCCATGTGGTAGCTCCTCCAGGGACGCTGCTGTGCTAACTGGGGTGGCCCCCGTGTCCCCAACACCTCCCTGGTATTTGTCATTTCCCAGCAACGAGAGCAGGTCCCCGTCTGGGCCGGACCCCAGGTCCAGCCAGACTCCATCGTGGTGTTTATAGTCAACGCTAAATGTAAGAGCCCCTTGCATTCATTTTTCACAGGTGTTTTTTAAATGACAAACGATGCGCATTTTCGACTTACGTTGGGGGTGTGATGTCACAGCTCAAACCTCCGCCGGGACGGGAGAAATCGTCACGGAGCTGACACGGGGACAGCAGAGACTGCGCCTGTGGAGGAAGGGCAGAGTGTGGGGAACGCGGCCCCCGGGCTCCCAGGGGGCTCACAGGTGGGAGCCAGGCCGGGAAGTGAGACCCCCTCCATCCAGCTCCTAGGAAAGCCACCCCGGCCTCTGGGGGCCGCTGGGAGGCGCAGCTGGCCGGCCCGTGTCAGAAGCACCAAGTACCCCGTGACCCTGTCCCGGCACATGTGCTGCTCTTCCCGCCCCACCCGGGACCACCCGCCTGCTTCGGCCACACCTGGGGCGTGAGGTTCAGGGGGGTCCCTTCCACGTGGCCTGGCCACCCACGCACACACTCAGCTGAGGTTCTCGGGCTGTGTCTCCATGGCTGGGTGACAGACGAGTGTGTCTCTGCGAACGCCGGGTCCTATTCTGGGGCCCGGGGCGGGTGTGTCCCTGGTGCCGTGTGCAGCCCTCTCTCAGGGACGTGTGTGGCTGGGTGAGTGTGTCCATCTGCCCCATCGTATTCAGGCTCCCCAGAACGGTTTTGGGGGGCCTGCCGCATTCGTCTGCCCACCCTCGGGCGGCGCTGCGCATCCCAGCCTCTGGGACCTCCCAGCCAGCCAGAGTCAAGGCCAGAGCCAGACAGCACCCAGGTCTCCTGAATCACAGCCCAACCCTTTCCCAGCATCTCCCCAGAGTAAACGTTTTCCTCTATGACCTGACCAGCGTGGGCCTGAGTCAGGACGCTCTTTATAGACGGTCACCAAGGCCGACGGCAGGCCACCGCAAACACCGGGGTCGGGGCAGGGACGGGGGTCTCAGGCACCGCGTCGGCCTCCACCGCAGGGAGGAGTGCGGCCCTCAGCCCACGGTTGCCAAGGGGCCCTCTTCTCCTCCTCCCTAGAGAAGGACCAACCGAAGCTGTCTGGGCCGAGGAGGGTGTTCTGGGAAGGGGAGTGCGGTTCCAGGAACTCCCAGTGAGGGGTGAGTCAGAGGATCCAGCTCACCCCCAGATGCACGTGGGGGCCCTGCCAGCCTTTGGACACCGGACAAGCCTGGAGTTTCTGGAGACATTTACACGGCGAGGGGGGGGGGCGGGGGACCCTCAAGGAGCAGAGCCCCTCACCCACCCACTATCCCCCTCTCCCGCGGAGGTCAGAGAGCAGCTTCCCCGCCTCCACTGGCCCTCAGGTACCCCGGGCTCACGTTCGTCTTTCTCCTGTTCAGCACATTGTGCTTCTTGTCGGGGCTCGGGGTTTTGTGGTTTTAATGAATGAGCGATTTTATCTGACCTCCTGACACCGCTCTTTCCCCTTAGAGAAAAAAAAATCTCGCCTTGTGTTTCCAAAGGTAACGTAACCGCAGTGAAGCGCATGGAAAACCCTCGCCTCTCCCAGCGCGCCAGCGCTAGACTCAGCCCCTCTCACTCCGCGCCAGCCAGCCCGTCCCCCGCTGCACCGCTGCGTGGGCTACCGCTGCGGCGCAGAGCGCCCCGTGCTGCTCCGCGGTTGTCACACGGTGCCTTTACAAACGGTGCTGTGTGTGTGTTCACTGTTCATGAGGCCACCCTCTTACTCCAGTCCCTTCACGAGGCCACCCTCTTACTCCAGTCCCTCCGTGCGGGGCGCCTCTCCACAGTGGGCCTGCCACGCCGCTCCGCTCGGTGCCCCTGCCCCCAGGGCAATGTCCTACGTTCCCCTGCCTACCCTCCCCCGCCTTCGCTGAGGCTCCGCCCTCTGGCTGGGGGGCCCTTCCCCTCCTGCCTGCAGCAATCGAGACCCACTCCATGACGAGCCCTTCCACGGGGCCTCCCCTAGGGGCCTTGCCACAGCCACAGAGGGCAGTTTTTACCTGTCGGCGTGGCTGGGCTGCACCCCGCCCCCGCCCCCCCCCCCTTGTCTGACATGGAACCAGCTGCTGCTGCGGAGGCATTCTGTAGACCTGACTCAAGTCCACCGTCAGTTACTCTAAGTACGGCAGCCGAGCCTCCAGTACCCAGGTGGGCCTGATGCAACTGGCTGCAGGTTTTAAGAGCAGAACCCCGGTTTCCCAGAAGAATTGTTTCTGTTCACGCTGGAGGGCTCTGGCCTGCCCTGCCCGAATGGCCTTTCTGACGAATTTTGGATTTTGGACTTGCCGGGCCAGCCCTACCACCCCCTTCCTCCTCATACACACACCTCTTAGTACCCGTCTCCTGCCGGCCGTTTTGCTCTGGATGAACTGCTTCGGGCAGCGGAGGCCTCCCTCTCCTGTTCCCCCTCCTCCTCCTCCTCCTCCTCCTTGACGTTTCTTTAGGGCACGTCTATTAGAGTTGCTTGTGTCGCCCCTTCCTTTCTCTGTCGAGTGCCTGGCACCTAGTAGGTGCTCAGTCAATGATTGTAGACTGACTGATAGAGGGCAGGGTGAGCCTTGTCTCTCTTTTTGTCCCCAGCAGACACATTTGAGGGGTGGAGGCAAAGGACGCACTCTGGGTGGGGCACCTGTGACGCCCTCCAGACCGCACAGGGTGGCTGGTGCCTGTTGTTCCCGTGTTGCTGGTCAGAAGGCAGAGGCTTAGCAAATTGAGCCGGCGTGCTTCAAGCTCACACGGTTAGCCAGAGGCAGGGCCAGGATTCAAACGCACACCTGCCCAGGGCCAAACCCCAGGCCATGGCTTTCGCACCAGGCCACCTTCTACCCGGTGAAGGGCAGCCCCGCCGCGTAGCTGAGGAACTAAGTGGGTTTGCAGGCCTGGCTGCCCCAGGCCTGGAGGGGGTGCTGTGACCTCGTCCCTCTAGGGAAGCAGCTCAGTGCTGGTGAGCAGCTCAGGCTAGGGCTCAGCTGGCTGCCTGGGGGAGGTGGGGTGGGGGGGGCATGAGTGTAGGGTGGGGAAGTGGGCGGCCCCTGGGCCTCGGGCGCTGGGCGCTTTGGTGATGCGGGTTTCCCGGGCTGGAGACCTCAGTCTCCTGACCTTGGCAGCCACCCTCAGTGTGGGGGCTGAGCCGAGTGTGGCAGGCGGCCTGCAGTGGAACACCCACAGTGTGAGAGTGTGAATGGGTGTGTGTTCGTGTGTGAATGTGGGAGCGTAGGGGCTGGCTGCCTGGGGATGTCCCCCGGAGTCAGGGCCACAGGGACCCCAGGGCACGTGCCTGAGGTCCGAGCAGGTCAGAGCCCGAGCTCCAGCACCGACTAGCCGTGCATAGCGCTGGCCAGGAGGGTGAACCCCCCAGGGCCTCAGTCTCTGCACCGGTCACGTGGGGATGCTACTGTACCTCCACACCCCCGGGGTGGCTGTGAGGGCGCAAGGTAATGACTGAGATGTGCCCGACCCGCTTGGAATCCTCCCTACGGGTCGGCTCTCCTGCCTCTCTGCCCTTTGTTGGGTCTCCGCACGGGAGTTTATTGGGGGAAAGAGTGCAGCTTTAAAAGAAAATGTTCAAGCCCTGGCTGGCGTAGCTCAGTGGATTGAGTGCGGGCTGCGAACCAAAGTGTCACAGGTTCGATTCCTAGTCAGGGCACATGCCTGGGCTGCAGGCCATGACCCCCAGCAACCGCACATTGATGTTTCTCTCTCTCTCTCTCTCTCCCTTCCCTCTAAAAATAAATAAATAAAATCTTAAAAAAAAAAATGTTCAACCCACCCTTACCGTCTCATCTCCAGAGGGAGACACTGAGGCCCAGAGAGGTGATGAGATGTCTCTGAAGCCTCACAGTGAGTAAATGCCAGTCTGCAAGGAGAGAGAGGCCTTGCCTGTCTCCCGTGGGAGGAGACTTCGAGGGGTCTGGCCCAGGTCCCAGGTGACCAGGCGTGTGGGACTCTCGTGGGTCTGGGGTTGCTGGGGAACAGAGCTTCAGGGCTGTCTTCATTGAAGTGGGGGATTCTTGTACCAGGCGTGTCCCCTTTCTTCTTCCTTCCACCCCCAAAATCGTTCCTGGGTTAACCTGCCGGGCTGCTGGCGTGGGGGCGTGGGAGAGGCTCTTGGACACGGTCGTGTCAGAAGTTACGCCAGTGGGCGCAGCGCGGAGGCCCGGGGATGGTGGGCATGCTCCCCCAGTCACGGCCAGTCAGTGGTAGAGCTCACACTGCAGCCCAGGTCCTGGGATCCTGGGGCCCCGGCCTCCTATGTTATATCGTTGCACGGCCATCCCCGTCCCGTGCGGAAGACAGAGCTGTCTGTCGGCCCCTATTGTCTGACCGTAGACGTGGCTGAAACCCAGAGCCCGGGCCCCCACCCATGCCGGGGGGGGGGGGCGGGGGCGCGGTGGGGCATTCGCCAGCCCCTTCAGAGCAGCTGCCCGGACGGGTGAGAAAGATGTCCTCTCTCCACTTTCCTTCTGGGCGTTCCAGGGTCTCGGTCCTGAGTGTGTGAATGATTTACAACGGGAAGAAATAGAAATTCTTGCAAGAGAGCAAAAGCCCAAACCACGGGTCCAGAGGGAGAGTGTTTTCCAGAAAAGAGATGGCTCCAGACCCTCAGGCTTGGTGGGGGGATGGCGCCTGCCACAGGCACCCCAGCTCCCTGGAGGTCCGGGTGGCCGGGGCGGGGGGGGGGATGGGGGGGCCTGGGGGGCACTGGCCCTGCTGGGGTGGGAGGAGCGGGCAGCTGGCCAGGGGCCTCCGCCAAGCTGGCTGTTGGCCCGGCTCCTTCGCCAGACGCAAGGGTGTGCTGTGACCTTTGTCACCAGCCTGGTTGACAAAACAGTGGAAGGAAGACACAATAAACGGAGACTCTGAGCCAGCTGCAGGGAAAAAAACAATCCTTGGGCACAAAAATATTTGGGATCTTAAGACTCCTTACAGGATGCTGTAACCTCTGAAGGGACCTCCACCGCCGCCCGTTCACCTGTGGGAGTGGTCTTCCTGCCCATCCATCATCCGTCTGTCTGTCTGTCCGTCCAATAAATTTATGTTCCCTGTTACCATGTTGCTCAGTGTGAGACAGAGCAGGAAAGAGCGCACCCATGGTGGGCAGGACCAAAAGAATCAGGACATCAAGCCACACCCTTATGCCATCATACAAGACGTATCTCGAATGTCACCACCTCCGAGAAGCCTTCCCTGACCTC